TATCCATCTATCTATTCTCTATTATCATTATCTATAGAGAATCCCTGTGCAATTTTGACTCTACATTGGCTATCCTTGATGACAGTTGTAAAAGTTTTTGAGAAACATGTCTCATTGCTTTATGCCTTAATAATCAAAAGATCATGTTGTTCTTTCAGCAGCAGCTGGTGACATGATGGATAGAGCTCTGATTCTGGAGTCAGGAAGACCTGGGTTCAAATCTGACTCATATATTTACTATTTGTGTGACTTTGGGCAAATCACTTTATCTCTGTTTGTCCCAGTTTCTTCAACTGTAAAATTGGGATAATAATAACACCTACTACCTATCTATTTCATAGGTACATAATAATAATACCTCTTCATCTCCTGTGAGGATCAATAAGATAATATTTGTAAAAAGTGCTTAGCACAGTGCCTGGTACATAGTGGTCACTATATAAATGCTCTTTCCCTTCCATGTCCTTTCCTTCCCTTCCGTCCTCTTCCTTCCTTTCCTCCCCTCCCCTTCCCTTCTCTCCCATCTTCTTCCTTTTCCTTCTTTTCTCTTCTCTTCCTTTCCCTTCCCTCCCCTTCCCTTCCCCCTTTCAAAGAATCTTATATGATTTTGACATATGCATGGGAGACACCTTGTTGGAGGAAGGCATTTCAGGAAGAATTTGGCTATTGTAACTTGCTCTCTCCTTCTCTCACTAAGGGGAGGAGTATCTGAAATTTCACTAACAATCTCTGCAATACATAGGATATTCCAAGTAGCCATCCAGACAAAAAAAAATTTCAAATGGCCTTTACAACACATAGGGCACCTCAAATTTTCCCAATGGACCCTTTTCAACACAGGACAATGCAAATCTAAGTCCAAACTAACCCCACCCCTCACTAGGGAAAAGCAGGGTAGCTTGAAAGGAAAATTAATTCAGAAAAGTCCTGTAGAGTTAGCAGGCTCTCAAAAAGGAATTAAGTACTCTGAGTTGGTTACTTGGGGTGTCTATATCAGCATGCAACATATATACTATTGCCCTTCAGTCCATAAAGATGTCAGAAAATCTCTAGTCACACTAAAGCATATGTTCCCAAACTAGGCCATACCACCCCCTGGGGGGCACTAGAACGGTCCAGGGGATGTAGTAGCCTCTGGTGCAATTGGGAGGTTGAATAAAATGAGGGGGCAGTGGAAGCATAAGGAAAGAAGAAAAGATAAGAAAATTTTGAAAAAACCTTCATACATGTTTCACATGTTGTGTAACAGAGTTAAAGTCATTATATTCCTCCCCCCCCAAAAAAAAACAACAAACCACACACACACACAAAATGCAGGTTATAACTGATCAGTGGTCAAGTACGAGGATAGGTCTTAACAATCAAGTGTTGACAGGTGAGCATGTTGCTCATTGTTCGGGAGTCCAGCACACATTGGCAGGAATATGTGCATGTAATGACTTGTTTATAATATGATACTATAAGGGTTACATGATGCAATATTGTGTCATCAAAATTTCAATGCAAGAAAAAACCCACAAATTTGCAATAAATTACTAAATTTAAGATATGTCATTTAAAAAAATATATATTTTTTGAAATGATGCAAATTTTTAAAGTGGATTTTCAGGGGGGCGCCAAGTAATTTTTTTAAAAAGGGGGCAGTAGCCAAATAATTTTGGGAACCTCTGCACTAAAGCAAATCTCCTTCTTTATAATCATCACCACTAAAGAAGAGGAACAGGTTATGAACAGCAGACACTGCTTTTTAAAACCTATTGAATGACGTCTTATCACTAATTAACATCAAGCACAGTATTTCGTTCTGGCTTTATAGTCTCTGAAAACTTCTGTTTTCTACATTAAAGTTTACTAAAGTCATCTGATCAGATATCTCTTCTATAATGTGTCTCTATGACCTTGGGGAACTTATTTCTATCTCTTTGGGCCTCACTTTCTTATATCTGTAAAATGTTGTTAGTGTATCTAAATATAGACTAATTTGTACCTGACCTGTGGTAGAACCTTCCAAACTTAACCAGAACACAGTGATGTCATTTTGATCTTTTTTGAGCATGAAGGACAACAACCAACCAAGGAGGGAGTATGGATTTAACCAGTAGTTATATGTAAAAATTTCTAGACTCTTCCAATGTGCCAATCTACTGATTAAAATTCCTTACTTTTGTAGCCACGCAGCTGTTGAATTCAGACATATTTACAATTTTTACAAATGAGTTGATTTTAATAAAAACAAGTTACTCTGAAGCATGATCTGAAACCAGATTTATGTGGGCTGGCACAATCTGCTATGCTAAACATATATTCATATTGCTTGGGTCTGTAACAGCCAGTTTTTTTGAGTAGTGATTATGACAGTCTTGACTCATGCCAACGTACCAAAAAATTGGCAATCGGTTTAAGATGCTAGTCTCAATGTGACTTTTATGGACAGTCCCTAGGGAAGGAGAACCAGAGTTATCACTCCAGTCCCTGTGGTTTGGCACTGGACTCATGAAGGCTGACACTGGGCTGCAGAAGGAGATAGATCACTAGCTGACACTAAAAGCAAAAAAACAAAAAAACAAAAAATATGAGGTTTAGTCATTCCCATCATTCTAAGTATGTTATTATCACTAAGGAAAATTTGCTTCCCTTCCTTCTACCTTTAGGTTGCTTCTTTGTTATTTCCTTACCTCTTCAAGGCTGCCCTTTCTCATCCATTCAACAAGCATTTAAGTGTCTACTATGTGCCAAGTCCTATACTAGGCACTAGAGATATAAAAATAAATGAAACTGTCCCTGCCCTCATGGAGCTTACAATCTATTGGAGTAAAGTCAAGTCAACAAGCATTTATTAAATACCTAATTATTGGGGCAGCTAGGTGGTACAGTGGATAGAGCATCGGCCCTGACGTCAGGAGAACCTGAGTTCAAATCTGGCCTCTGACCAAACACTTGACACTTACTAGCTGTGTAACTCTGGGCAAGTCACTTAACCCCAATTGCCAAAATAAATAAATACCTAATTATGGACCAAGAGCAGTCCTAGGTACTGGAAACATTGTATACTCTGTATTACCGCAATACAATATCTATGGTCTATGATCACATTCTTCTAATGATGCAGACTCTCAATGCCTTCATGCTTGCTTATCCTTTGTGACTGTCATCCATTTTCTCCAACCTAGCAACATTCACACAGACAAACAAATACAAGGTATATGTTAAGTAAATATGATATATCAGGAGGAGTTCTCTGATTCCTGGGGTTGAGGAGGGGGAATCAAAAAAGGCTTCAGACAGGAAGTGACACTGGAGAAAAACCCTAAAGAAAGTACCTGGATAAATATGTGAAGGGTGTGATTTGGTCTGGAACTACAGTAAAGCTGGCTTATCTCTGTAATGTATGCAACTTCAGTTTACAAATAAGAAAAGAAATCTAACCTGCCAATGAAACAGAATCAGCTTGGTAGAGTGGAATGAGCATAGGCTCTGGCTTCAGAGGACTTTGGTTCAAACCTGTTTCTAGTGGTAACTAACTGTGATGAAAGAAAACTTCTTAATCACCCTGGCCTCAGTTTCCTTATATGTAAAATGAGGGGATTGAAATAGATGACTTCTGAGGTCCCTTTCAGTTCCAGAGCTTCATGATCTTACCACCTTACCACCCCTAACTACCACCAACATCATTTTACAAGATATTGGAAATTGAAAATCAGAGGTAAAGTGAATTGCGGAAGGTCACAAAGATACAATAATTTAGTAGGAGCAATGACCTCTGAGCAGATGATCTTGGTAAAGTTTAACATGTGTTGCTAACCGGAGGGTCAATAAGTGTTTAAGAGGGGAAAAATGATCATTAAAAACCCTGCTGAAATGGAAATCATCAAGTAACTTGGAAAATAAATGTAAACAACCATACTACAGTCCTGCCATCCTTTGGTGGGGTGGGGTAAAGGCTCAGAGTGAGTTTCTCATCTGTCAGCTTCTTAGCAAATTCCAGAGGGTTCATGGAGAATGAGATCAACAGGTAGGGGGATGAGAGGTTTAGCAGCCTAGAGCTAAAGAAAAAAAAAAAAACCAGCCCAACAACAGAAGAGGAAATCACCTGCGGTAACTGTGAATGCACATCTTGAAACCGAATGCAAGCTATTACTACCAGCTCTCTTCAACCAAAGTGAATGGAAGAACTGCCCAGGGAGTGTGTGTGTGTGTGTGTGTCTCGCACCGGTTGTATCTGGGGAGCCCACCCCTTGCTTCATACACTTCTGAGGAACACAGATAGGATTTTTAACTATTGCAATCCAGATTTCCCTTCCCTCCTTTGAGGACGCAATTGAAGAATCTAACTGACTTTTTTTTGTTGCTGTTTATGGGGTGAGAGACTATTGGTTAAGAAAGCAGGGAACGGCTTTGCGCCTCTGTACTACTTGGGGTGGAAGAGTAGAGCCAGGAGGCCCCTGAGAGGTGGCAAAAAGCTATGTGAAAGAAAGGAAAAATTGAATGGAACACGTGAGAATGGGGGCGTGGCTGATGGGCTCGGTGACGCAGTGACGCAAGAGGAGGCGGGACTGCCATTGACAGGGGGGCGGGGCCTGCTCCTCCTCCGGCCCCCCTCCTGCGGTGTGTCAAACAGTCGGGCACAGCGCTCCCCCATCAGAACCCCCGGCCGGGCTGGGTGTGCAGTGAGGGGTGGGGGGCGCGCGCGGCGCGCGGGTCCTCCCTCGGGCCGCCAGCCGGCATCTCTGCGCGCGCTTGCACGCCGCGTCTTGAGCCCCACGACCACGAACTCAGTGCCCCACTCCTTCCCCGTGCTCCCTCCCCTCGGGGGCCGCGGGGGGCGCTGGGGCTGGCGGGGCCCCAGGAGTATGTGAGGTCCCGCTCTGGCCCGCAGAATGGTTCCGGGTTTAGAGTTCACAGGTCAGAGTTGACTCCCTGAAAAGTGCAGCTGGTTTGAAATGCAAGATGGCGGCGGCAGCGGGGCCGTGAGGAGAGCCGAGCCCGCGGCGGCGGCGGCGGCGGCGGCTACGGCGGGGGACCAGAGCACCGAGGCGGCAGCGGCCCCTCCAGGTAGCGGCGCTAGTGCGGAGGGCGCGGGCCGCCTGCCCACCCCACCCCTGGGCAATGGCCATTCTTCTTAGTACTCACCCCTTGGGGCTGCGGGGGGCTCCTGGAGAAGGAGAGAAAACCACCGTCCTCGGAGTTAGCGGGAGGAGGCTCGAGGCCCGGCCGCCCGGGGCGGGGAGGGCAGAGCCTTCCCCTCGTCTTGGGGGTGACAGGGAGGATCGTGAGGGGAGGACTGAGCCTCTTTCCCTCCCCAGGGGTGACAGGGAGGAGGATGTGGAGAGGACGGAGCCTCCTGCCCTCCCCGGGGGTGACAGGGAGGAGGGTGTGGAGAGGACGGAGCCTCTTGCCCTCCCCAGGGGTGACAGGGAGGAGGGTGTGGAGAGGACGGAGCCTCTTGCCCTCCCCGGGGGGTGACAGGGAGGAGGGTGAGGAGAGGGCCTCCTGCCCTCCCCGGGGGTGATGAGGAGTGAGATGAGTGCCTCCTCTTCTCTGGGATGATAGGGAGGAGGGTGAGAGTAGGACACAGTCTTTTTCCCTCCCTGGAGATGCTGGGGGAGTGTGAAAGAGAGGACGGAGCCTCTATCTTTCCTTACCCTGAGATACTGGAGAGGAGGAGTGTGGGGAAAATACACAGCCTACTTTCCCTCCCACTGGGGATGTTAGGACCAGGGGAGAAGGTGAGGGAAGGACAGAATCTCCCTCCAGGTTTTCTGGGTGTCATTGAGAGGATGGAGAGGGGATATATCCTTTTGGGAAGAGGATGAAGACTGATGGGAGGGCAGAATCTCCTTCCCTGATAGGGGTATGGAGGGGACAGGGCAGGAAAAGTGAGGGGAAGACAGAACCCCCATCTTCCTGGGGTGACAGGAGAGTTAGAAAAGGGCAGGGCTTCCTTCCATATCCTGGAGTGTTTCGGCATTTGAGGGCAATGTTTATTTTCTTCTCCTGGGGGTGGGGTGGGGTCACATAGACCGAAGATTTAAGGTCTTGAGGAAAAGATGTCAATGAAGTACTAAGCCTTGATTTCTGAATGTCAGACCTGTATTAGCTAGACCTGTGTTAAGACTTGGGGTCTTAGTGAAGGAAAGACTGGAATCTCAGGGCAGAGAAAATGAAGGGCACTGGTAAAAAATAATTCAGCCCTCCTTAAAGGAAGTCACGGGAACACTGCTTATCCAGTTTGTTCTTTAGAAGACAGTTTGTTCTTTAGGAATATGTATTTAGTGAGAGTCTGGTTGAAGATGCAAAAGTTGTTAGAAGAATGTACAATGTTAGGACTGGGCTGATAAGAATGAAAAAATTATTGGGGAGAAGGGCAGGTGTTAATAGAACTGTAAACTACACCTTTATCCCCAACAAAGACACTAGTTTTCTCAGGAATATAGAAGAAAGAAATTAAGCTCCTTGGGGAGATGGGTGACGGTGAAGGAAGAATTAAACTTAAGTCCTTGTGGTGGAGTAGTGTGGGGAGATTTTTGAAGTGGGGGATTTTATGAGTTGAGAATGGAAACATTTAAGACAGTGAAGATGGAAAAAAGCAACTTGAAGAGTTCCTGTGTGAATGCTTCCTGTGAAGGAAGAACTACTTAAAGAGTAAAATTCAGTAGTCATTGAGTTAACATATATGTTTGTATAAATATCAGGATTAGGAATCCTGAAGTTCACTGGAAGAAAGTCTCATTTGGGGCCAAAAAAGAGAATGAGACAAGAAGTAAGTGGCTTATTTCTTTGTGGAGAAAGAAGCTTCTTGCAGGCAACCTCAGGAATGGTTGATATGTATTTGCTTTTTTGTTTGGTGTTTTTAGATCTATTTGGTATGTTTTTGTGTTTTCTACCCTTTTCACTTCCTGCTCAAATCCACTGATAGTGTTACATTATTTCCAGAAGGATGAGATGTCTTTTTTCAAAGAGAATTATTCACAAACTGTTTGGCTGGAGGTGAGGATGAGCAGATATTGAATGATAGTGGTAATATATTAATCTAGACACTTGATTTCTTAAATAGTAATTATATTACTGATGTTAAACTAAAGAATTGTATATGGGCTGTCAAAGGCAATTATGAGTTAATGAAATGAAAAAGAAAGGGCATTCAACTGATTTCTTCACTCCATGTTCTGTTCTTCCCTTTCTCCCTGCTTTTTCAGGGTTAAGCAAATGTGTATATAAAACAAGAATTAAGTTTTATGAATCCTTTAAATATAAAATACTATTTCATTCATCAGTTTCTTTTCTATATAAGCAATCTCACCAAATGCTTTAAATATAATTAAAATGAAAAAAGAAAACAAGGAGGGAATGAAGCTGAGGAATCAGTAGCTCATGCCAGCTGTGATTCATGCAGATTTCTTAAACTGTTCTCCATTTACAAGAGCTTTTGAGTTCTTACATTAAAAGTACCTTTATAAATTTCAAATATTATTATGGAACAATTCATAATTGCAGAGTTTTCAAAAACATTGTGTGTGTGTTCTATTCTTCAGTTTTGGAAAGGTTCATATAGCTCTAGTTTAACATTCGGTTCTTAACAGATTAAGATGGGCAGACCAATAGTAGCACCATTGCCAGATGGTATGAAAATATGCTAATGCTGAAAATGCAAATGTGATTGTGACATGGAACACTCATTAATAGACTTCTTCCTGTTGTAGCTGAACGTTAGCATTTCATTAGATTTGGGGGCCATTATTCTAATTTATTAATAATGGAACAGTTATTTTATATTTAACATTTTCATCAAAAGTCTAAAAGATATACATTCAAAATAGAGAAATTTTCAGTTTTGTTAATATAATAGTTCACAAATGATGGATTATATTGGGTATTTTTCCCCTTTATTACATATTTTACTTTAACATGTGAAAGCAAAGTGTTTTAAAGTTTTATTTTTATACTTTATTGTATTAGTGTAAAAAGGAGAAATACAGAGAAATAACTTTTATTATAAGTAAAGTTTAGAACAAGTGCTTTACTCAAACGATAGTGCTGGTACATTGTTGTTCTCTGGTTATCAGTAAATTAGTTACTTAACATATTGTTGAAACCACAATGAAAGTTTCAGGGTTTATTTGGGATTTGGAATAAAACACTTTACTTGAATTTGGGAAGTGCTAAAAATTTTAGGCTAAAGGTGGTTAGTCTGTTTTAAAAGCTAGTATTTTATGATTAGGACAATCTTCATTTCAGTATTAGAAGTATCCTTCAGCACTGTGAGATGCATTGTAAAAGTGCATCACATTTACTGTTGAATTTCTGATTTTCCTTAAAATCAAAGAAGTTAATATACAATTTTATGTCAGAATTTTTGTAAATTCAGTTTCATTGTCAAGAGTATGCTATGAGACTTCAAATGAGAGTAGATACTTCTGTAAGATACTAATAGAGGTTTTCTTGTGATTGTTGGTTTACTTATATTTATGCAGTCATGAATACTTAGGTTTGCATAACTAAAGCAACTGATTTAATAGGATAGAAATAGAATTTCTCCTGGAGATCTCCATATTTTACACAGCTAATTATTTGAAAAATAAATAGGGTATCAATTTGTATGTGATAGCTTTTTTGTTTTTTAGGGAAATGTAATCTTAGTTGCATTTTGTATATTTTACAGTGTGATTGAGGGAATAAAATCAGTTTTGTAAAACTCAAATATCCTAAATCAGCTTCTGTTTAAAAAAAAAAAGCACAGTGTTGTTTTATCCAAGTTTTCAGTGCCTCTGGACTAATGTGATATATGACTTGGAAAAGAGCTATATATGTTCATAATTTTGAATATATTTAATTTCAAATTGCTTAAAGGATACCATGATAAATCTAAGCCTTTCAAAGTCAAAGAAATAGTATTATTTGGGGAAAATATTATGGTTGTATGTTCTTATACTATGATATATTTGCACTTGTCTTGAAAATCATTAATGCTTTAACATGTTTATTAAAGTTTGGCATCAGAGCCATTTCATATGTGGCATTTTGGTTCTCTCTATTTTTTTTTTCTCCTGTGGTTTTTCCCCTCGACTTTGGTTATTGGGACAAGGGATTGTGGGATGGTACTGTTGTCTCTAACTACTTTCCTTGTCTCTGTGTATTTTGCTCCATCCCAGATGTACTCCTTTGAAGTTCTTTGTATAACCCAACAGGGCCTCTTAAAAGTTTTCAGAAAATATGACCCATACCTAAACAAAACAATAATAAAAAATTTAAAAATTCAGAATATTTTCTCCTCGTTATTGCTAAGATAGTCAGATGAAATTCCTTGTTAGTTTTGTAAGATGACGCTTAAAAAGCTGTAGAGAAAATGTGCATTTCAAGAAAAAGGAAGGGAGTGCAGAATAACTTCTGTATTTCACTGAGGAAATAATTATCCATTAGTATCTACTTGCTAAAGCTGACTGGATGTAACATTGTTTATGTGGTAATAACATGAAATGGAAAACAAGATTTGCTTGACCACTGATTCATTTATGTATGGTACATATTTTCAGCAAACTTAAGAAGCATCTTTTTGGGTTATTCAGAGAACTTTTAGACTCATTATATAAACACTCTGGAAATCACAGACTTCCATAGTCAATGTAACCTCAATTTAGTAGGTTAAATAACATGATCTCTAACATCCATTACAGTTCTAAAATGCTGTTCATGTAAATGGGAATGGTGCAATTAATTCCTATCCTTAAAATCCATTTGTTAGACATCAAAAAACACTCCATTTTTAGGTGGTTGTTTTTTTTTTTTAAACTTTCTCAAATGTATTAAAAAGATGACTAAATTTTTAGAAATCTTAAAGCACCTTTTAAAAATTTACTTTACTAATTTAGTAGGAGATGTTCTAAAATGCATTATTGGTGCTAGTTTTAGGAATCAGTGTAATATCAGATAGCTCTAATCATTTTTATCATTCAAAGTATTTAAAAAAAATCTAAACAAAACCTACATTTTGAACCTGTGTAAACTTGTCCATAAAAATTTACCTTAGCATCTTCACCCTTTTTTAAATCATCCTCTTGTTCCGTGAAGCATTTTGCAAATGCTGTGCAATTTGAAAGCATAATCTAATAGGGCACTGATTTTCTGCAATATCAATTATTCATTTTGGAATACATTTAAAATTTGGCAACTGTTTCCATCAATATCTCTAGTTCATATCCTGATGAAGGCTAAAGAGTATCAACAACAGGGTACCAAATGGAATCTGTAGAATTCCAGTCATAGGCAAAAATTTAATCCACTGGACCTACCAGGAAATGCTATTTATTTTCTCCTGAGTGCAACACAGTTCTTAAGTATCAGTATTAAATGCTGTTCAGAAAGATATATAGTAAGAATTATGAATAGCATTGTCATTATATAACTTGAAAAAAGCCTTGGGTAGACTTGTTTGCTATATCTGAGGAAGCTCCCTGACAAGCACAAATTATGTCATTATATATTATATTATATAATAGTATATATTATATTATATTATATTATATTATATAACTTGAAAAAAGCCTTGGGTAGACTTGTTTGCTATATCTGAGGAAGCTCCCTGACAAGCACAAATTATGTATCTTGGAAAATTATCTTGCTATTTATGATAGAGCTCTGACTTACATATGAAAAATAAATCCAACATTATATACACTTTAAAATATAATTTTTTAATTATTTTGAGAGTGAGAAAATCACTTGAAATATTCATTATATTCCCCTGAAATTTTAAATATTCTGGTTATACACCATATTTTTGGAAACATATCTTTTGCTTTTCTGAGAAAAAATTTCCAGTTTATTGGATGGAATGATGATAATGCTCAACCAACAAATGTTTGGATGCTGCATTTTAAGATGTGATCATTGTAAAGATATTTGCTACTAGTTTTCTAGCCGAAATAAATAGATGGTTTCCTTAAAACAGACTGTCACCATCTGCCATTGTACGAGATATTATTGGGTACCACTGGTTTACTGTTTAACTTGGACTATTGGTTTATATGATTTAGCACTAATAAAAACAACAACAACAACAACAACAATTTCACTTTAAAATAATGCACATTGGTGTGTTAGGGTAAAACTATTGGCATGTTTAAGTCTAAATATACACACTTCCAAAATCATAGTTTAAACATGCTATATTCAATTTTAGCAAAGAGTCATAGGATCATAGTTTTTAGAAACTTTGTTGATAATCTGGTTTTTTACTTATGGGAAGATAGACCCACAAAAGCTAAGTCCAAACAGGTAAGAAGAAGCAGGATTAGGATTTGAAACCAGGTCCAGTGATTCCAAATCCAGTGTTTTACTATTACACCAAAGTTATTTTTCAATTTTAAAATTCTACCCAGATTTTTAAAAAGTTAATCTTTGCATCTTAATTTTCAAAATTATACTATACAAATAACATGTAACAAACAACTTTGAAAGTTTGAAAATGACTGCTTACCTACAAGAATATTCACATTATGGAAAATTTATCATAATAGAAATTTTTTTTGGTGGCTTTGTATCAGTTTATTGTATAATCTTATAAATACATTTGTAAACAGTGTGTACCCATTATTCTAATGTTAGTTTTGGCCTTATAGATGATTGTTTTGAAATTTTTCATGAGGAAATTTAAAAGGTCTGTTTCTTTTTAACAAAAGCCTGGACCTCTCCTGTAAAGTTTTGCTAAGTCCTATATATAACCTTACATGAATGAAAAACATACTTGAAATATATCAGGACCTAACTGTCTTTATTCTCTTTGTAGGAAAAGGTGCATGGCTAATTTGTCGTTTGTAGTTAGTAATGGCTTGAGCTAAACTCCTCTAACCGGAAGGCATTCCCCGCTTCTTCAAAGGATAGAGTACTGGAGAAAATGTGGCAAGTATGTGTTCCTTGGTTTTGGAATGGGAATGTTAGATATTTCTATACTTAATTTATACTCTAGGGAAATTAATACTGCAGGTGATCAAGTCTTTCAAAGTTCACAAAGCTGGTATGTAATTAAAACTATATTTTAAAAGCAGTGAAGATATGGCTACTTGATTTTAAAATATACTATTACTTTAAAATATACTTAAAATATATCTTATACTATTGAGATCTTGATGCAGATACAAATAGATTTAATCAAATTTTATTGTGCTTGTGCTTACACATTAAGAATACTTTAAAAATGAACAGCTGGAGAATAAAATCCCAGAGTCCCTCAAAATGTATACCCTGATAGCGAGAGATTAAACTAAAGCTTGTTGCTGTTTTATTTCTCTTACAGTTACCTAATATTTAATAAAGTATATAAGCTTTTTTTAAAAATCAATTTTGAAAATTTTTTGTTACATATTACCAGAATTTGACTTAATCTGTTAATTCACTGACTTCTTTAGGAGGTATTAGTTAATTAGGCATTACAAACAATGTTGTTCAGTATATTTTACAAAATACTTTAATACAACTACCAAAACTACAGTAATTTAGCAAACATTTTTTAAGTTCCTACAATATGCAAGACAGGAATTTGTTCAGTAGTTTATGAAAGATCCACTTTCACCTTTTCCCTCAAATAAAAGAGTTCACCTTGTTTGACTTTATTAATACTGATAACTTTTAACTTGAAAGTAATTAAACTTTAATCCTTATGACCCCTGGTAAATTATGTAAATGTTATGCTTTGGAGTTTAGGGACTGCAAATGCACAGGCAAGTAGTTTCTTTGAGCTTTTGCAGATAATCTGGGTCAGATCTGGAATAGCACTTTTGTGTCATAGTTTTTGTGGTAGACTTAACACCCCTTCTTGATAGAAGCAGGGAAATTTTATTTTTATCACAAATTTTGCAGTCATACTCAGACGTTCCACAGTTATCCATAGTTTGTAATAGTGGTAAGGATTTTCACTCTAGGACTAATATTTATATATATATATGTGTGTGTATATATATATATATATATATATATACTATTACTGTAATAATGTTGGATATATGTGTAGTTAAAAGTATGTGTTCCTAACTATATATTTCTAACTACATGTTTATCTAAATACATATATATATACACATACATGTATGAACTCTATAATGTGTTAGAAAAATTATATGTTAGAGATATAAGATAATAGTCTCCCTAAAGGAAGAGTTCAAAGAGTCCAGGGGTAGTTCTGCCTTTCTTCTACTTTCCCATTCTCATTTAATAAAATTATTAAGGTCAGCTTCCCAGTATTGTGGGATTAGGGGCAATACTTGTGCAGCATAGGGCAGTATAACAGGTACCAACAGTTTTCACTGAAGCAGTGGTTTCACTGGGGACAGAAATCCATCGGATGGGAATATGATTGCTGCATTTTCAACAAAGAATGGTTAGGGTCAGATAAGGCAAGATCAGTTTTACAGGAACTATGAGTTATCATAGCTGATAAACTAAATTTACATGCTGAGGACTCAAGGGACCTATAGGTCATTCTTATGTACATTCGTGGCCTTTGATCATCTGTGCTTCTGCTAATACTCCAAAATTGTGTTAGCAGTGAAGCCTGGACATCATCCTCTAGTTTCTGTGGGTCTCCACTGGCTGTCACAGTTTATGCAGATACTAAAAATAGAAGACATGTATTAGGTTTGGTCAAGGTTCTTAGTGGACTCCCACTTATGCTTGTCCAGTGCATAGCCTTTCCAAGTACTAAAGGTAGCCCTGTCATTGCTGGGAGGCCAGTCCTTCCCTAACCATTAGTTGTTACTGGAGAGGAGATCATGGCATTGGGAGGGTGTTGTTAAAGACCTAGATCCAAAGCAGTGACTAGGAGAAAACTAGGCAGATACACATCTCTGTCTCTGTCTTTGCACTGGTTGTCCTTTATGCCTGAAATGTTCTGCCCTCTCATAAGAGCGCCTTAGTTTCCCTGCTTTCCTTCATGACTCAGCTCACATTTCATTTTCTGTGGGAGGGGCCTTTCCTGATTTCTCCTGCTGCTCATGCCTTCTCTTTTAAGATTACCTTCTTATATTCTGTATATATCTTGTATGTACCTAAATTTTTACATGTTGTTTCCATTAGGATAGATGCTTCTTGAGAGTAGGTACTATGTAGGTTTTGTTTTTGCTTTTGCCTTTCTTTATATCCCTAGAAGTTAGCACAGTTCCTGGCACACAGGTAACAAATACTTGTTGTCTGACTGCCTGATTGAGAGACATTGTTAGGGAGCTTTAGTCAAAAGACCATCAAACTCACTAGTTTCTTTATATTGAAGAACCAAGTGTTTCTGACATCTCTTTTAGGGGAGGGTTAGTAAGCACAGAGGTTTCAGGCCAGTAGCCAAGTTTGATTACCATATTGCAGGAATTTTCTTGGGATTGGGTGATGGCTGATGGGGAATGCAACCTCTGGGATAGTTTGTATATCTGGCTAAGTAGCTTTTAACTGTTTCAGACTGCCCATACAGTGAGGGGAAGGGTTAGAAAAGCCAAGGATAGAACTCCGAGTTGATGTATTCTGAATAGAGGTGGTAAAGGTGTTGTTAAAGCAGAATTTTTTTATTTACTGTTAAGACAAGCCAGTTATCTTGATGGTAACTAATATAATGGAAGTCTGGTTCTCTTCCATTTGGCCATTGCTTTGGGGATGAGACACAGGAGAAAAAGTGGCTCTTGGCATACAATATGGAGAAGAGTGTTGACCAAAAAAGGGAAATTAGGTTCATTTAAGCATAAGATAAATGCGTAGGCCAGGAAGAAGCTAGGCTCTTTCTGAGAGGAACTTTTGTACTGCCTCCAGGTAGGCAGGTAGGAGTGGACATATGGCAGAAGGAAGCAAATAGATTACATCCACCACTACCATGTAATGATGTCCTGTCCCTGGGATGAGTCTAGATTTGCAATGAAGGAAGGGGCTACTGAGGACTAAGGTCACAGTGTTATACTGAAGGATTGCAGCACTCTTTTAAGTTTTCCAAAGCAGTCCTTGGCCTGGATATAGGTTGCACAAAACTGATTTTAGTGACTTACATGATACTAGACCCAGAACCCCCAAAAATCTGTCCTACATTTTCCCATGTGACTGACTGCTTTCTACAACAGAGTCACCACCTGTTTTGCCTTATGAGACACATACAAGTGGAATCCACTTGTAAAAAAAAAGGAGGCAGTTTGATGTGGAGGAAAAGAGAACTCAATTTGGAGTCTAAGGACCTGATTTCAAATTGTGGGCCTCAGTTTTTCCAGATTTAATACAGTGTTGTTGCAAGAGACTCTTAAGATCCTTTTCAATACTATGATCTCAGATGGATTCCCCTTCTCCTTTCCAATACTATGATCTCATATAAATTCCCCTTCTGAGGAGGGAGTCAGGTCTTTGCCTAATGAGGTCAGGTGAATCTGAATGAAATTACCCTGTTACTGTAGCATAATACTACTGTCTCTTACTGTGGTAGGATAAGTACAGTGTTCTTGATCCTTTGGATTGTCTGGGTTAGAGGCTTTTACTTAAGGGCTTCCAAACATGAATTTTTGTGACAAGGTATCAGCTTGAGAAATCTGAGTTATAATGGATCTGGAGAATAGAACTCTTGGGAGAAAAATAGACCTACAGGATCAGTTGATGATTGAATTTTGGAACTGACTCAAGGTATTTGAGAGATTATGATTAGAAGATACTGCTTGAATGATTATGCAAAAAAAGTAGTGATTAATGAATCAGTGTGAACCTAGAGGGATATCTTTCATAGGGTGTCTTGAGGACTTGTCTTTGGCTTTGTAATGTTTAACTTACATTTTTAACACGTATTTATTAAGCACTTACTGTGTACCAGGCATTATGCTAAGCACTGGGAATACAGAAAAAGGCAAAAGACAGTTCCTGCCTTCAAGAAGCTCCCATTCTAATGAGAGACACAACATGCAAATATTTACATATATACAAATTATATATAGAGTAGATAGAAAGTGACCTCAGGGGAAGGCAGTAAGCAGTAGATAGCAAGAAAAGTACCCCCAAAGAAGGTAGGGTTGAAGTTAGTCTTGAAGGTACACATAGAAGCTATGAAGTGGAGGTGAGGAGGTGGACAGCATTTCAGGCATGGGAGATAGCCTGTAAAATGCATGAAAATAGGAGATGGAGTATTTATGCAAAGAATAGCAAGTAGGCCAGTGCAGCTGGATCATACATTTTTATAATTCCTTTATCTCACTGCTCACTGCTCATTTCATTTCCAGATAGTTTTGAATGTTAAACAGTTTCATCCTTATATCAAGCATAATAACCTAATTTCTACAATTTCCACTCAGTCCTCCCAGTGCTGCCCTCTGAGGCCAAGGAGAACATATCTAAACCTGTCAAGTCTACATGAAAACTCTTCAGATATCCCCTAACTTGCTCCCTGCCCAAGTCTTCTAGTCTTCAAGCCAAATACACATTTTGTTCTAGTTCTTTTTTCGTAGGTTACAGGAGTAGAGATGGCATGCCTCTAAAATTTTCTAGGAGAGAGGTAACATACTAGATCAGCAGAGATCTTCACAAACTAAAATGGTGGATTCATCTAATGACATAAATTTAATAGGCATAAATGTAAAGTCTACACGTGGATTAGGAAAATGACTGCATTAAATATAAAATGGGGGAGGTACGAGCTGGATAACAGTTTATGTGAAAAAGATGTGTGTTAGTAGACTCTATTCAACATATTATCTTTGTGAAATGGCAGCCAAAAAAATTAAAATGATTGCAGGTTACATATTAATAGAGGTGCAATTTTCATAACAAGAGAAATGATAATACTCTTCTACTCTACACTGGTTAGACACTTTGGAGTATGGTGTCCAGTTCTGGGTCACACAATTAATCAATGGCAGAGAGGATTCGAAATCAGGTCTTCTGAGTCCAAGTCCTATACCTTTT